AGCGAGGAATCATAACAGGTTGAGCTTGGCCATAAAACATTTGCTGGCCAATACCTGGGGCACCCGGAGGATACATTGCCACACAAGGAGCAAGCGCTGGAGCAACTGCAACTGTGAAAACTGGGCCTGCATGCAAGCCATAGCAAATAAGACAAAAGGCAGAGAAAATATGCACACCTGACACATCTGCATAGATTAGACATACAAGTAAATCCATCTAAGTGAATATTACCAGCATTCTTGCTTTTCTCTCGACTTTCCGTTGAGCGAGTGCAACATAAAGTGACTTGTGTACCACTAGTCCCTGGATATTATGTGGGCTGTCATAAATTCATAATAAGCATCATTAGTGCTCCATCATAATAAGCAAACTGAACCTTCTACGGGTAAATCAGCACTCATCCGCACAAGCTAAAATTGCTTTTGAGCAGTTTGGTTTTCACCACTTCTGTTTCAGCCAGCTCCGTTTGTTCAGCCCTACTGCTAAATGCTAACATATGCTTCAATCACAAAATCTAAAAGTAAACTTCAGGGGCTATTCTGTTATCGGTCCTTGCACGTTCTATTGGGCTCCATAATATCCACTCAGGGTCAGATCCTCTGAGGTAAGGTTATCTTACAACCATGAAAGTTTACATAAATGCTGCAGAAAAAAGTGCACACACTCACACACAAAGAATAGAGATGACCACCCCCTCACCCCAAAATCCCAATTGATACATTCAGCAACCCATAAGGCGTTGTGATTAAGTCCATTTTCTTATAAACTAATTGGACACTTAATTTCATTTCAGTGACATGTCTAATTGGGAATAAGGTGATGCTGCTGCTGTTGATGATAGGATAAAAACCGGTGAAACAAAATGCCTGACGTCTTATCATAACAAAATAGATTTTTGTCACGATAAGGAAATATCACATATCAACTGTGTTTGATGCATAACAAAACATGGAAAACGGGTTTTTAAAAAAACATGGAAAGACATCGCTCAAAAAGGTTAAAGTGGAGAAGTGAATGCCATAGGCTATCACAAGAAGTGTGTTGGATTGTTAGCAACAAT